CGTCGTCATCGGGAAATCTCGAGAGATCTTCACAGGGCCTCGCTCCGGTGCTCACCAGGTGCGCAAAATGAGAACGAATCTTCTGCTAGAACGTGGGAAGATACGCACCAGCACATCTTTTGTCTTGTGTGCGTGTGGTGAGTAGTGAAACGGAATCCACCCATGCTGGGGCCAAGTCCCACTAGCAGCGTTGAGCTACTTCAACGCCTGAATCTGGACTCTTTTGCGGAGATAGGCAGAAATGGTGTTGAGTTTGCTGAACTGCACGTCACCACAAACACGTCCAGATTCAGGCGTTGAGGTAGCTCAACGCTGCTAGTGGGACTTGTCCCCTGGCCGAATTTCTTTTCCTTTTGACATATTATCATCCAACTGACCGGCCCTAGGAATTGTAATATTTTACTCATCTGCTACCAGTGAAGTCCTAACTCAGGGCATACTCACAGTAGGACCTTTTTACTTATGGTTCGACGTGAATGCGGCCAGGTACATCCACGTCTGGCTGTAAATGCGGTCAGATACATTTACGATGGCGCTAGTGTGAGTACGACCTCAGGTATGTATTTCAACGGTTCAGGGGTGTACCAATGGAGCTAGGCCAGTTGGTTGCTGGCGGAGTTGGGGGGGGGAGAGGTGGGGTGGGGGGGGGGGCGAGAGGCCTTTTGCCTTGCGCTTGCTTCTTCTGTGCTTATGGGCGTCGTTCCTCTACAGCCTTCCCCCGAACACAACGTACGGTCATTATAGCTGAATTTAGACCGAAAGATGCGCACCAAATTCAGCTATAATGACCAAATTCAGCTATAATGACCGTACGTTGTATTCGGGGGAAGACTGTAGTCACGAAATGTGCAAAATGATGCTGCTTATGCGCTTATGGGCCTCGCTCCACTACTTACCAAATGTGCAAAATGAAAATGAATCTTCTGCTAGAACGTGGAAAGATACACCGCCGTATTTTTTTGCCTTTTGTGCATGCGGTGAGTAGTGTACCGAGGCCCTATGCCGAATTGCCGGCAGTAAAAAAAAAAAAAGCACAGTTGTATTCACTGAGAGCAAACCGGAAAGAATTTCGGGAAGAAGTACGAATAGGAAAAAGAAAAAGGACGAGAAGTTTGTCTTGGACGGGATCTCAGGAAAAAAGACTCCAACGGAAACAAAAAAAAAAAAGAAAAAAAAAAAAGAATCCAAAGGGCTGGGTTTATGTGGCATCCGCATGCAGGGGTGCTATTATGGATGTGATTTGGAGGCTCAGAAATGACAGATTATGCAGAAATGACAGAAAAAAAGGGGTCCTTCGCCGGGATATCCGTCAAAATTGGATCGTTGGAACTTACAGAGGGAGAAGCATGGACGCTGTGCAAGGATGACACGCATAAATCGGGAAATGGTACAAAGGAAAAAGAAAAAAAGAAAGAGTAAGGAAACATTGGTCCACTGAAACAAAAAAATAAAGAGTAATCGGCGCAGAAAGAAGATGCTGTTGAGCTTGAGGGTCTGGCCGCACGGCACACTAAACGAAAACGAAACGAGTGCATCTGCCCACAAAAGGTGGCAAAATACACGTTACTATGGGCCTCGCTGCAATAGAGAGCACTCTACGTGCATTTAGACGCTTTCTCGGCCCGGCACATTCAGAATGTTGGACTCGTCCGAATGCGGCTGGTCCAGAAAGCTGCCAAATGCATGTAGAGTGCTGTGTAGTGCAGCGGTGCCCTATTTATAGCAAACCGATGAACCTGGCCATTTTCAGTGGGAAGATACATTCGTTTCGTTTTTCGTTTCGTGTGCCGTGCGGCAACGCCCTGACTCTAGTTCGACTCCGTGACATGGGGCGTCGCTGCACTACTCTCGAAATGTGCAAAACGAGAGTGAATCTTCCGCTAGAATATGGCCAGATACACCGCCATGGTTTTTGTCTGTTGTGCATGTCGAGAGTAGTGCAGCGAGGCCCATGACTTGTGATGCGTAGAAAAAGAAAGGGGACAAAAAAAAAGAGTATCAACGAAGCCTAGCTCAGGTGGTAAACCCATGAACTGTTGGAATGGGGAACCAAGTTCGGATCCAGATGACGGAACTACCGTCTTCGCCCGAATAAAACGTACGGCGATTAGTGCTGTATCTAGATTCAAAGTTGCCCCAAATACAGCTATAATGACCGTACGTTGTATTCGAACGTTGTATTCGAGCGTAGATGCTTGTCTGTTGAAAAGGCATTCGCGTGTGGCTCGCCAGAGGTGGAAAATTTGGTCACGTAGATCTTGGGCCTCGCTGCACTACTCTTGAAATGCACAAAAATTCATGGCCGTATATCTTTCCATATTCTAGCGGAAGATTCACTCTCGTTTTGCACATTTCGAGAATAGTGCAGCGAGGCCCCTTGTATTTTGCCGAAATTTGTCGGTTACTATGCACAGCAGCAGACGAACGAAACAAAATTTCAAAAAAAGAAAAACAAAGAGTGTTGTTCTTGTACAAACATGCTTGCCGGGGGCCAAGTCCCACTTGCAGCGTTGAGCTACCTCAACGCCTGAATCTGGACGCTTTTGCGGAGATGTGCAGAAACGGTGTTGAGTTTCCTGAACTGCACGTCTCCAAAAACACGTCCAGATTCAGGCGTTGAGGTAGCTCGACGCTGCTAGTGGGACTTGGCCCCGGGAATAAGTAACCTGACTGTTGCCCCCCACAATAGAAGGGGCCTTTCTATAAAACAAAAAAAAAACAAAAAAAAAACAAGAAAGAATAGAAGGGGCCTTTCTGTTTGTTTTTTTTTTTTTTTTTTTTAGGCCTTTCTGTTTTGAAAAAAGGGAAAACGAAGAAAAAACGAAGAGAAGAACCGCGTTATTTTGAAGGTAGAAGAGCAGAAAAACATAGCGTTTGGGAGCTAGGAACTGAAAACAAGACTCAGAGAGGAAGAAAGAGATTTCTTCTTTGCAGACTGGGGGCCTCGCTCTCCACGCCTCACCACATGCACAAATGAACAAAAAGTACGGCGGCGGTGTATCTTAGCGGAATATTCATTCTCATTTTGCACATTTGGTGAGTAGTACCGCCACGCCCCGAGTACAAGGATGTATGTATCGTTCAAGAGCCACAACACTGTTTCACTGAAGGACTTCACATCACAAGCAAGTTTTGAGATAAACGGTTATCTCCTTTTGAGATAAACGTTTTTGGACGCAGGATTTTAAAAGCGGAAACATTGTTAACGTAAGAAGGATTTCACACCTTCAAAACGTTTTTGAGGATTTCACACTTCCTTTGAGATGAACGGTTTTGGACGTCAGGATTTTAAGATCGATACCTTTGTTAACATAAGAAGGATTTCACATTGTTAACATAAGAAGGATTTGACATTGTTAACATAAGAAGGATTTCACAGCTCCAAAACGTTGTTAAGTGAAGGATTTTGAGACCTTTGGGATTGACGTTTTTTGGACGTCAGGATTTTACGAGCGATTGACGTTTCATTTCATCCACCGGCCTAGCTTAGTTGGTAAGGCACCCAAGTGGATTTCAGGAGGTCTTGGGTTCGATCCCCAGTGGCCTCATGTGCCTTCCTGGGCATGCTTGGCGCCCGCCACCTAGAGATAGCCCGTTGGTCCCCCCAATTGACATTAATTAAAAAAGCAGTCTCTGCTGATGTTCATAGGGGCAGGGGTCATCAGGGCAGCACAGCGACTGGACCCACTCAGATGATGCTAGGTCCCTCTGCTACCGGCTGTACCCCCTGGCCGGTGTCCCTAAAGGTAATAAATAAAGGCCACCCGGTGTCAGATTAGACACAAGATTGAATTTACCTGGGCTGGTTAATTCGATGATAATACCTCAAGGACGTCGCGGTTCGGTGAAGGGAAAAAAAAAACCTTACGGGTTTCACACCTCCAAAAGGATTTCACACCTCCTTTTTTAGGATAAACGTTTTGGGAAAAAAAAACCCGTAAGGATTTCACACCTCCTTTTTAGGATAAACGTTTCTGGACGCAGTATTTTAAGAGCGATAACATTCTTAAGTTAAAGATTTCACACAATTCCAACAAAGAGTTGCGTTGTTAACTGAAGGATTTCACACCTGCAAAATATTGTTAGCCGGAGGATTTCTCTCTTCCATCAGCAGATTTCAGCCCTGCTGTTGCTTTCCTCCTTCCCCCCTCCCAATGAACATCCTTGGACTGTGTCCTTCTCCCGTCTCCCCCCTGTACCCCCCAACTGAATTTGAAATTATGGTCCAGCGACGGAATTTCTGCGGTACGTGCAATTGGGTTGGCAGCTAGGTGGAGTACAGAAACCAAATTTGTATCTACCTTGTTAACCCGACGGTCTGCATTTGACTCTTGATCCGCGAATTATGAATTAACTTCAATTAAGGGAATGTGGAAGCATATAATGACGGTGTGAATAAAAGTTTTTTCCCCTGAAAATGAATGTAGACCCGGTTTCCAGCAGGTGACGCTCCCCACCAATAGATGGAGCACGATGTCTTAAAAAAAAAAAGAAAGAAAAAGGTAGTTTCTTATGGTTTTTGGCTAGGCTACCAGAGTGGCCCAGGGCCACTTACCAGGCCGGGCCAAAAAAATAAAAATAAAAATAAAATATTTTTATTTTAAATTTAGTAAAGAATTTCGATGTGACCCTGAGGCAAAAGTTGTTCAGTTAATTTTTCTGCAGAACTTTTTTTTTTTGGGATTTTTTTTTTTTTTTTTTTTTTTTTTTTTTGGGCGCTGGGGCTGCCTGCACGGCCGGGCCGTCCAGGAAAATAAGGTGACCCGGGCGGCCCGGTTGTAGCCTAGGTTTTTGGTTAGATTTTAGTCCGAATTTCTTTTTTGCTTCTTTCGCTTGCTTCGGTCTTTGGGCCTGCAATTACCCCACGAAATAAAAAATTGCCACGGATATTCTAAGACTGTTAACTCTGTAGTTTGTCTAGTACATGATTCTGTTTTTATTTTTATTTTTAATGCATGATTATTAATGCTGTGGGATTGGACGGACTTGGACCACTGCAGGAGATCGTGGGGAGGAAGAGTCAACTGTGTTGACTTCTGCTGAGCATCCGGAAGAGTGCGAAAACGCGTCGTCGTCTGGTCGTTCTTCGTCTGTGGATTTCGGAGGGAGAGGAGGCGGTTTCAACGATAATTGGTCGTTGTCGAAAGCATGGGACGCCTCTGTAATACCTCCCACGGCGTCTGCTGTCGCCGTTGGTGAGCAGATGTCAGACGGCGAATTTCATGAAGAAATTCCGCTCTTCAAACCCAGGCACGTAAGAGCTAGCTCACTTAGAGACAGCATGGCCTGGGACAAAGAGTTTCAGACGTTTTCAGAGGGTACGTGCGATGATCCCTAGCTGCTCCTCTTCATTTGCTGACGATATCCTTTGGCCTTTTTCCGTCTCGAGTTTGACATCGACGTTTGACTGCACGTACATCTATATACGGAGGGTTCAGCCTCCTGATGAGTCTGTGAAACTCAGACGAATTCACAGCCCCCCCGTTCCTCGTCCTTTACTCCCTTTCTGCGAACTGTTCTCCACACAGTTCTCTATGACTATATATATATAGTCAAACAGAGCTGCCCGGTAAAGCGTAGGCAGAGAGGGAGAAGAGGACAACAATATGTTCATTGTATTTGTATCCTTTAGGACGATGTATATGTGAATAAATATCGTCAGTCATATATATGTATATATGCTACTGACGAAACATATCTGTACATATATAGATATATCCCTCTCTGCCAACGGTTTACTGCTCAGTTCTGTTTGAAGATATATAGATATAGATATCTATTTACGTATTATCTATACATATATAGTACAGGTCTATGTATATGTATTATCCATATGTATGTATATATATGACGATATATATACATATATATGGGGCTCCTCTTTCTGACTGGTCGATAGAATTAAGCGATCAGGAGCAACACTGATTCTAGAACAGATAAAAGAAAGAAAGAGAGAAAGTACAATTTCTGGAGAAAAGAAAAAAGAAAAAAGAAAACAAGAAAAAAGAAAACAAGACAAAAGAAAACAAGGAAAAAATATGTTGAATTTTGTAGTGACAGTGGCAATTGGTTTATCTGTGGGATGTGTCATTTGCTTTCTTTCTTTGTCTTTTCTTTGACATTTCTCTTTCTCTTGCCTCTGTAAGGTCTGGTTTCCTCCTCCTTTTCTTTACCTCTTTGCCTTTTGGCTGCGTGCAAGTGGGTCCTTGTGACACACGGGGATGGGGGCGCTCAACCTGTCATCCACGTGGCTGGCCTTGTACGTAAGAGGTGATGAACAGGTGGGGCTTTCCTTCTTTTCCTTGTCTTGCTTTTTTTTGCCTTCGCGCTCTGATTCACAGTGTGACAATATATATATATATATATATATATATATATATATATATATACGATATATATATATATATATATCTGTTTGTGACGATATATATATATATACCTCAGGAGGCTTTACTGTAAATGTCTTACAGTTAGCGTTTCACGGTCGCCACCTTCTTATGCATCATGCGACGCCAGGCGATGACCTCAATAACCATCCTCATATTTTTGCCTGTATTTTACATAGACCCGGGCATTATATGGCACTCATTCGTGCAGCTGCCCAGTGGGAACTGTGGGATGGTGGGATGATGAGTCAGGTCATTTTCGACGTGAATGAATTTTTGCGAGCGTTGTCGAATCATACTTTATTCTGGATTATTGACCGACTCTCGTGTGACGCCTGTCGGGACAGAGATGCGGTGCGCCTTGGCTGTGGAATGCATCATCTATGCCATAGCCATTATCAATCTATTGCGACTGCCGCCGTCTGTCCTGTAGGGTGTCCAACATTTCCTCATTGTACACATCCCTATCACCCAGATATACGTTGTCCCTATTGTGCCCAAGGACGCTATCAGAACTGTATGATGCCGCACTGTGATGAATGTCCTGCCGTGTTTTTGACATGTGGACAACACGTCCTCTGTCAGGACTGTTTTGATGGGATGGTTCGTGCTAGCCGTCCTGCAGAATGCTGTGCTGGCGCAGCTCTCCTTGGGCATCCTTGTGAACATCCACATCATCCTCACCGTAGCTGTCCTATCTGCCGAGGTGGGGGCAGGTAAAGAAAAAAAGAAGAAAAGAAAAAGAGAAAAAAAGAAAAAAAGAAAAAAGAAAAAAAAAGAAAAAAAGAAAAAAGATACGTTGATCTGTGGGATGTGTTATTTGCTTTGTGATAATTGGATTATCTTTCTTTCCCTGTCAGGTTTGGTTTCCTCCTCCCCTTCTTTACCTCTTTGCCTTTTGGCTGCGTGCAAGTGGGTCCTTGTGACACACGGGGATGGGGGCAGCCAGCGCTCAACCTGTCATGCACGTGGCTGGCCTTGTACGTAAGAGGTTATGAACAGGTGGAGCTTTCCTTACCTCCTTCCCCTTCCCCTTTTTTCCTTTTCCTTTTTTCTTTTCCCTTTTTGCGCTCTGATTCACAATGTGACAATATATATATATATATATATACATCCACGTGGGCGGGCTTGTACGCAAGAGGTTCTGAAATAGGGGGAGTTGTAAGGAAGAAGATAAAAAAACGAAAATTTATTTCCGTGTTTCTCTTTGTTTTTTTTTTTGGTTTGCGCTCTGATGACTTTGTGACAATATATATACCGTTTGTTTCGTGAAGTGCGCTCTTTTTAGTTTGTAGTTATGTGGCAATCTCTCTCTCTCTCTCTCTCTCTCTCTATTGCTGATGAGAATCCCCCACGAAACCTTCTTTTCTCTGCCCCCACTGTTTATGTTTCCTGTCTGCTTTTCACCTGTTGGGTGCCAGGCATACTGCTGTATGAATAGAAGAAATTGCCTTCATATCCTTCTTTTTGTAATGCGTAATATACTCACCTGAATATAGATAGATGTACGGCTCACTGGGCGGTTCGTTCTTGGTATCATGTCACAACTGTGGTATATTTACAGACTCTCTGCCCCTTTTAGCGGAATATACTCACATGATGATGATGATGATGATGATGATGATGATGATGATGATGATGATGGTGGTGGTGGTGTGTTGATCTGATGGCAGAGACGTTCATCACTGATGAAGAGGCAGGACTGGATTGCTTGATGATGGGTGCACCGTTAGTTTGGAGGACGACGAAATCGCCCAAGCCTCTGGCCACAGAGAAAAGACAGTCCTTGGCTGCAAATGCCTCTCCATTTGCTTTGAATGCGGCCACAGATGAGAACGAGAATGGTAAATCTGGTGGAAATCGAGGACGCAGCGGGGAGTTGAGCGGCAGTGGAGGTGGCGTGTTATCGTCGTGCAATGTGAACACTCTTTCCGCTCAGCAGCAGAAGGACTCAACCAAATCACCAGCCCCCAGTCTGCTAAAGGCACGAAGAAGTGGATTGAAAGACATCTCGCCTTGGAAGCAACTGCCTGCCACACAAGAGGGTATTTATTTGTATACTCGCGAGTCCTTGTCCGTGGAACACTTCATCCTTTCCTCCTCTGCCTTCTTTTTGCCCCTGCAGAGTTTAACACCCTGATCTGATGTAAATATATATATGTATGTACTTGCTACCTGCTTTACGCTTTCTGTGGAAGCTCATGTGCCTCCCCCAGAAGGGACAACGGCACCTAAACGCAGGTTGTCCTGATTCACTTGGGCTTCTCTGAGTGCATCTGGACGTAATGGCGGCCAGGTACTTGTAGGAAAGTAGTAGTATGTTATGACAGCAAATGTGCCCCCAAATTCAACCAACTGGTGGAGTTTTTCGAGTGCATCTTGATGTGACACCGGCCAGGTACGCGTAGGAAAGTAAGAATGACTGCAAATTTGCACCCAAAATAGACCAGCAGGTGAAGTCACTACCTTGTTTCCCTGAACACACAGTGCCTCAGCATGATGACTCCATGTGTAGAGGAACGGGGTCTGTATACGTTCTCGACAATGGGATGTTGTGCTCAGGGGAAGAAGGTAGTCGGGACGAGTGACGAGCGAAGATCTTTTACCCGTCTTTCCTACGAGTACCTGGCCGGTGTCACATCCAGATGCACTGTAGTTTCAAGCTGTTTTTTTTTTGTGACTGTAGTGAAGTTACCCCATTAATCAATCTTTTACCCGTCTTTCTTTCCCCCAGTGCAATGCAATTCAAAGCAAAGCAGCCTGACCGGGACTTCTCTATCAGACCTGCAGAGGATGAACCAACACTCAGTATCGGTATTCTGTGAATGGACGCTGGGCCCGTTGCTCACCTGGTGAGCAACGGGCCCAGCGTCCATTCACAGAATACCGATACTGAGTGTTGGTTCATCCTCTGCAGGTCTGATAGAGAAGTCCCGGTCAGGCTGCTTTGCTTTGTATTCTGTGAAGGGATATTCCAAAACGAAAAAAAAGCAAAAAAAAAGCTTGTATAAAGAGTCCTGATTAACGTGTGTTTTGTGTTGCGGGAAGAGGGGTGGGGGGCGAAGAAACGCTAGCGGGTAGGGATCAGACAGTCCGTGATTCTTTTCCATCTGGCACCATCACTGAAGTTGCTGGCAGTAAGGTGCAATGGGTACCGGCTCTTGGCTCGGCGGTCTTCATCTGTAACTGTTTTGTGAGTTAGTCGTGAGCTCTCAAACTGGTTTTTGACAATGACTTTTTTTTTTTTTTTTTTTTTTTTTTTGAAGCACGCCCCCTTCATTGATAGTGGTGCTGATAAGAGCAGAGACCACTAGCACCTGGGGAGAGGCTCCATCTATTGGTGGGGAGCATCACCTGCTGGGAAACGGGTCAGTCAAGAGGTGGTCATCTTCTCTATTGCTGACTGGCAACAGGGTGATGAGGGATAATTGTCTACGATTGTTGTTATTAATTTATTATTATCATATAAAAAAAAGTGTCGTCAGAAATTTGAATGGGATAACTTCACTACTGTCACAAAAAAACAGTTTGAAATTACACCCCCACAAGCACCCCTACCTGACCGGAAAGCTAGCTTGTATACATTGCCCGAAGTGCGATTTGAAACTGGTTTTTGGCCGAAGCATATTTTTCAAACTCTTCTTGTGACTCCCGTGTAGTTTCCCGAATTTTAATCCTCGTAGACAAGTTGTCCCCTGTCCCCTTTTACGACGTACAATTTTTTCATGAATTCATTTACATTTGGTGGTCAACGTATTCATTTAAATAGACAGCTAAAATCGGAACATTTAGTCCTTTGGGATATCCATCGAAATTGGAAGGGTATGGAGAAGATTATCGTGGTCCCTGCAAAAGGATGACATGCACAAATTGAGAAATGGTCCAACAACAAAAACAAAAAAAACGAGAAAGAAATAGACAGCTAAGAATCGCTGTTGTTTCAACGGAATTGGTCCATTATTGTGTTGCAGATGAACAGTTGGTTGATGGCACTAGGGAGCTGAAGACTCCTGGAGCTCTGCCAAGTACTGTCGCTGTTTCCGCGGAAGAGAAGAAAGCACCTAACGAGCAGGACGTGACTTCAACACCCATTGCACCCATTTCCAGCTCCTTGGGGAGCGATGCGTGTGAAGGGGTGCAGAAGAATCCGCTTCTTAATGTCAGTATGGCATGGGATAAGGCCTTTCAGACAGAAAAAGGTGGGATTAACTTCCTCTCTCTCTCTTCGTCCCCCCGCACCCCCCGCCCTTCTTCCTCCTTCCCCCTTCTTCCCCCTTCTTCCCCCTTCTTCCCCCTTCTTCCCCCTTCTTCCCCGCTTCCCCTCCCCTCCCCCTCCTCCCCCGTCCTTTCCCCCACCCTCCCCTCCTCTTTCCCCTCCTCGATTCTTCATCATGGAAGAAAGTATTCTCTTCCTTGTAGTAAGAGACAACGGATTCCTCTTATAACCATCCTCTCTGTTCTTTTTGCAAAGAGTGATTACGCAGATGGGTGGAATACCTTGTCAGACCCAACCTGGTCTCCCTCTCTCTCTCTTTCTCTCTTTCTCTCTCTCTCTCTCTCTCTCTCTCTCTCTCTCTCTCTCATGCTGTTCGTCACTTTGTCTCTCTCAATCCGTTTGTCTCTTTCTCTCTGTCTCTCATGCATGTCTTATCCATTCCTCCCATCCTCCCCTTTCTCCCTTTGCTTCAACCCTGCCCACCCTAATTGGCCCTTGAGGGCCAGGTTCTGGAGCCTGAATCTGTCTCTCATTTTCGGTGTTCCCTCCCTGGTGTTTCTTCAACCCCAGACCACAAAGCAAAATGGCTCTGATGGAAATAGTAGCAGCCGTCTCTGCTTGGATATTCATGCTAGTTTCTGTTGCTCAAATAAAACCCTAAACCCTGAGCTGTTCAGTGGAAGCCTTAAACCTTGAAGTATGCACCCTAGGATCCACAAAACATAACTTCAGGGGCGCGCCTGAGTTTTGAAAAATTTGGATCCATAGTCCGCCCTCCATCTCTAGCTAGGGCTTTCCCTTTCCGTAGGTGGCTTGTGGTTGTGCTTGCTTGCTAAACCCAGGAGCAGTAAATTTGAGGGATATTGTCAATCTTACGGCTGGATCCACCTGTTGAGAAAAACCTGATTTGTGCTTCTCATCATCCTTTCGCCGGTGCCATTGGTCCACTGGTCTGCTATAAATGTGGTTAGATGAGCGGTCAGCACTTGTCTGTGATGAATGTATAATCTGAAGAGTTCCTGGCTCTCTCCTGTCTTTTTTTTTTTTTTTTTGAAGGGCGACGGCCTTGAAATATCATCACAGAAAACTGACCGGCCCTAGGTACTTCAGAGCGGCAGTATTTTACTCATCTGCTTCCAGCGGAGTTTGAACTCGGGTCTGTTTTTCAACAGTTCAGGGGTGTATAAACTGAGCTACGCCAATTGGTGGTTCTCTCCTGTCGTACTTTGGTCTTCCTCCTCGCTCCTTAAACCCTAAACCCTAAACCCTCTTTGTCGTTGTTGTTGTTATCCTCTTGTTGTCATGTTTTTCTTCTTGCTGCGTTTGCTTTGTCTTTCTCCAGCGTCTTACTTGATGCAATCCTCGTTCTATAGTCGCCTACTGTCTTCACCGGAAGAGAAGGCCCGGTTATTGTAGGCTGTATGTGGCCCAACTTTCAGTCTAGATGCGGCGATAATGACCAGGCGTTGTATTTGGGTGAAGACGGTAGCAGTCATTTCCTCTATTTGGAATTGTTTGATTTTTCTGCAGTGTTTGCTTGCTAAGATTTGCGGGAAGACAACGGACAGGAGCTAACGAGGGTTTGGTTAATCTGCGTGCAGGAGTTCTGGATTCCATCGACTTAGACGATCCGTTTGAGAGGTTCTCAAAGCTGCATGCGTTGTCGTCCACGGAGGTGACTGCGACAGAAGGGATCATTCATCGCGATGAGAAGGAACAGACTCGAGCAGAGAAGTCCTCGGTGGCAAGGATGGGAGACGCAGCAGCAGCCGATGAAAAAGCTACGTTATCTGGTAATCAATCAGATGCTGCGATTGCGCTTCAGCCATGGTTCAAGTCCACTCGCACAGCTGGAACTTCGTTGAGCCACGGACCTGGTTCTCCGGCTCCAGATGATAAGGTGGCGAGTCATGATGGGATGTCTCAATCTTTAGCTCCATCGAAGCTCCGACCTGTAGGACTTCACAAGATCAACAAATTCACGTTGGAGAACCGCTTAGCTGAAATAGGGGAGGAAGAAGAGAGGAAACAAGAAGATGGAACATCGAATGCCTCTGGTGCAGAGGAAGGTACATCCGGCCTCGACATTTCTAGGGGCAATTTATCGACAACTACCGGAGCCGTGCTTGGCCAAGATGGGCAGAGCAAGTATGGCATAGATCCTGCGGACATACTTGAGAAAGTGGCTGCTGTGCAAGCACAGCTTCTTGATTCCCCACGAGTACGGCACTTGCGGTCACAGTTGCCGGCAATGCAAAAGAGTGAGTATCCCATCATTTCTCTCACACTTCTCCCCTTTTTCTCTCCTCTTAGAGTGTGCGGCTGAGCCCTTGGCTCTCACAGACACACACACACACACACACATACACACACACACACATACACACACACACACACACACACAGAGAGAGAGAGAGAGAGAGAGAGAGAGAGAGAGAGAGAGAGAGAGAGAGAGAGAGAGAGAGAGAGAGAGAGAGCTTGGGCTTGAGATTATAAGTACCTGTGGGAATTGTAATACTGGATGTTTATTCGTGTGTTCTTTTGGCAGATACAGCAAGTCCATCGGCTGAGATTGTTGCTGCTGCCGGCAATTCCGAAGGAACAGATCCAGACAAGGTGAGCTATTCAAAGGCATGGTTTCTCAATCTATCTTCCTAACCTGTCATTTACTAGTTTCATTGCCTGACCTACTTCAGAGATCCCTAGAGTGGGTGCCCAGCTATTTGTACTCCTTGCTTCACAATGTTTGGATTCTAGAGGAAGTTAATTGGCCATGCCTTTCAACAATAGGGTAATCAGAAAGAGAAATTTACTTTATTTAGCGTTAGCAGCAACGCCCCCTCCTCTATGCATCCAATGCCCCTTTCTCTGTTAATTATCAAAGAGTGACCTTTCTGTGGGGATTATTGGGGGCTTTAGCTTGGTGTTCTTTTTTCCCTAATACTCTAAAGCAAAACGTGGGTCTCGCGTGACGCGTCCCCCTGAGACCTTTCCCGCGTGGGCCCGGTGCACCTTGGGCCCGGCGCGGTTTTTTGTTAAGGGCCGTTTTTTTTTTTGGGTTGGTGTTGGCGCGGCTTCGTGGGCCCGGTGCACCTTGGGCCCGGCGCGGTTTTTTGTTAAGGGCCGTTTTTTTTTTTGGGTTGGTGTTGGCGCGGCTTCGTGGGCCCGGCGGGGTTTTCTGTTTACTGCCATTTTTTGGGGGGGCGGTTGGTGTCGGCGCGACTTTATGAACGGCCTCTTTTTTCGGTACCCTTTTTTTTTGCGCCGCGCCGGGGGTTGGTTGGTGTCGGGGCGACTTTATGAACGGGCTCTTTTTTCGCTACGGTTTTGTCGGCCATGTTCAACCAGGTAGTGAATTCAGCGGCCGTAGCCAAAATGAACACCGCTGCTTCACGTACAGCTTTCCTGGTTGCTCACATGTTATGGCGGGATGATTCTCTGACTGTTTTTGTCTTTTGTCTTGATGTGTCTCCTTCAGGGAGGTAAAATTGGAAGTCCTCTATGTGCTCCAGAGGTTGGCAGTGATATCTGTAAGGCATTGCTTCCCTCGTCTCGTCTTCGGAATCCTGTACAACAGCCGCGGGCAAATTCAGTGATTGAGGCGGCTATACAGGATGGCACACGTCTCCGTCTTCCTGGACGGTATCATCAAGGATATCCTGCTCAGAAATCAACAAGGACTACGTTGTTGGCAGTCTCGCCTTTGCCATTGTTGTCGTCACAGCTGGCAAGGCCTGGGCGGTGTTGAGTATGTGGCGGTTGTTGCTATTGCTGACTAACATCAAGTTCTCCCTCGATGTCACATCGAGTTTGATCTATCACTGGCTAGTTGAGCTGGACTGCTGTGCTGTCCCTGCAACTGTGGCTGGAGAAAGTAGTTCGGTGGACTCCTCGATAAATGGGGTGGGGTGGGGGGGGGGGGGGTTGATCATTGAACACTTTGCAGCTTTGAATCCCATGAAAGACCCTCGACTTCAAGGACATCTTTTGTAAAGTTTTTACAAACTGTTAAATTAATTCATAAACCTATAAGTCCTTCCATTGTCAGTCTTTTCTTGTAAATATCATCTCTTTTTTCATCATGGAACACACGTAAGGTGTATCTGTGAGTGCTTTGTTGTTCTGGACAGCTCTGCTGGCTGTTGTGTGTCTTTGTGCTGTATGCGTGTTGTGTGGTTCGAGTCCTTGCCATTGAGTGCAGACTGTTGCAGACAGGTATTGTTGAATAGAGGAGACGGGCAATGGCAGATGAGGGAAGTGAGGGAGAAAGACAGACTAAGGGCCACTTGCGAGATCATGCAATCAGGAAAATTGGGGAGTGTGACAGAAGTGCGTGTTATACTTGGCATGGAGTCGCACGGTTAGCAGATTGGTAGAGCTTTGGCCTTTCTCTGGTAGTTTGTCATGCCTCAGTTTGTGTGCGTGCAGGTGTGTGTGTGTGTGTGTGTGTGTGTGTGTGTGTGTGTGTGTGTGTGTGTGTGTGTTCATGGCCGTCTCTGTGCATTGGAGATTATTGGGATTGAGAGGTGGGTACGGATATGAGAGTGGGAAAGGTCGGGATGGGGAGTATCAGTGTGTTCTCTGGCTTTTGTGGCAGTTGTTGATAAGGTGACGTTTGAGTTTAGACTGCATGAGCCAACTCGCGGTTTTCAAAGCAGGCCAGTAGAAGACTGAGAGTACGAAAGAAAATTCTGCCTACCACTGAAGGTGGGTCGACTTCTCCTTAGCTAGGGGAGATGAAAAAATAAGACAGCATAGTCCACACCCCTGTCCAGTGTCATTGATAAGGGTCATTCTCTTGCCTTCCCCCCAAGATCTAAACTGACTGTTTGATCGTAACTCTAATTAGTAAATAGCCGGATTGCACTTCGGTGGATGGTTCTTTGCCACAGCAGTGCTCTCTGCTAGCTGGGCGAACGAGCTTTTTTTTTTTTTATCCTTCCTTTTTCTTCCTTTTTCTTCCTTTTTCTTCCTTTTTCTTTTCTTTTTTTCTTTTTGTTTCTAGCTTTTTTAATTCACAGGCGAAGTCCCTTGTTGTTTCCCTGTGGTGTCCCTTCTCCATGTGTCTGAATCTGTTCTATCGTTTGACTAAACATTCTGCTAAGTTGAATGAGATTCAACTCGAGCGGTCTCTGCCGCTTACTCTCAAATTTTGGGAGCATTTGATTAGGGTATGGAAAGTTAGATTTCATTTAGTGGGCATGCGCAGCTGATGTCAGATACCACTGCCGGAGCTGCCTGTCCTTTGGTGGCTTCGTTGGTAAGCAGATTTCTATTTGCTGGACGGATGTTCATTGCTGTGTCTGCATTGGGTGAAGGTGATGTTGGGCTCATGCTGGGACGGGTAGCGCCATCCTGTAACCTCAGCTGTGGTAGAGGTAGATGTGCAGATTCACTTAGCTGCTGCTGCTGCTGCTGCTGCTGCACAGATTCAATAACTGCCAGCACGTCTCTGCGCCGATTGTGGATCTCGAATCAATACGTCCTCTCTTGATAAAAGCAGTCATCTTTCCATGCGCAATCAAACCATAATATTTGCAAATTTCATGTTCGGGTCACTTGTGAGTTGACCCGAATCTGGCATTCATTTTCTAGGTGATGACTTATATCAAGTTATATGTGATTCGGTCCACAGATGATAGCCAGCTTTCAGTCACTAGCGATGTTTGATCGTTTTGTTGTAATAGTCAGCTTTAGGTGACTAGCGATGTTTGCTGTTTGTTGTAATAGTTGATGAGTCTCTAGCTGTAACGGACAACTGATCTGTTGTAATAGGTGTGGCAGATCACTAGCGGCCTTCTAGAGTCTTTGCAATTCGTGTAGCTGTTATCGACGACTTTTCTGGTTGTTTCCGTGTCTCCTCTGTTGATTTATATCTGATGCTTTTCCAGCCGTTTACTGATTCGTCTGTTATAAGTCTTTACCTTCTTTTCGAGTGCTGGACTGCAGGTGTGAGCTGTTTGTTCAAGCCGCTGTGTGGGCCCCAACTGCCATCTACACATATGGGGGAGCGTTACAGTTACTTCCATAACTACTGTCTTGCTTATTTGGTATCCTTACCCATCTGTTGTTTACTGTGTCATGTTGTCTTATCCCTTTTCCCTTTGCATGTGGAATGCTTGTGTATACACGGCCACGGATTTGCAAACACACATATAAGACTATACAAGGTCCCTCTTGTTGCTCGTTCAAGGGATTAGGTTTTTGCCCGATTACCGTTCTCATGCTTGATCTTGGTGAAGCTCTGTTCTGTGTAGTATGGGGGAGTTCAATATTGGAGTGGTGTTGGACATGGAGCCAGAACTGTAAGGTTGTGTCTTTGTTTTTTTTTTTTTTAAAAAGAAAAAGAAAATTGGAGTGGTGTTTCTCAAACAATTTGTGCAGTCGATTGCCAGGGTAACTCGAGTTATTTGTTCGTCCCCAAACAGTTAACACGCTGGCAGATGCATTACATGCGTTCATTGCACGCTTGGGTACGATTTACTGCAAAATTGTATGTTGTTGAGACGACGGGTTCTTGTGGTCTCTGATTAGAGATGGTGTTTTGCAAAGAATTGTTTTTCATCTACCTTGACTTGCTGTGCCGCTTCTCCCTTAACCTCCGCTCCTTTCCCATCCAGGGGTAGGGGGGAATGAATCAAGATCTTTTCAGAAAATCCCTTGACCATTCACACATCAAAGAAACAGGGTACAGAGGAAGAGGTGCAAGCAGATGCTGGAGCTGAAACAGCTGCTCCCAGTGGCACTGCTGGCCATGAAGCATTCCCGGCTCTCCGGCAAGAGGAATCCAAGAGCAGGCTTGTGGGAGCTGGCTTTCTTGGAGTGAGATCTATGAAGGGTTCGAGGGATGCCAGACCACCGACTAACGGTGAGACACATTTCTCGCTGACTGTATTGCAGTCTCTTTTGGTGTCCGCGATCACAAAAGCTTGGCACCCACATCTTATGGGGCTAGCCTTTTTTTTTTTTTTTTTTTTTTTGTAATATTTGGACCATTTCTCGATTTATGCGTGTCATCCTTGCGCAGGGGCCATGCTAATCTTCTCTGTATCGTTCCAATTTTAACGTTGGATGTCCCGAAGGACGGGCTAGCCAATTTTCTACATTTCAAGGAAGCTCCCAAATGAATTCCTTAGTGATCTCATCTCTATAGTCCGGTAAGATGCTTGCTCGTAAAAGCTTATTCATGTTTTGTGTGATGTGAAGGCGGTTCCTTGAGAAGGTCACGGAAAAGGTCCTTTCATCCAGCGAAAGGCCCTCGTCCAGCGAAAGCCCTTCATCCAGCGAAAGCCAACTATCTCAGCTGGTGATCCCAAAGTGTGCCACAGGGGTTGTGGGGAATCGAACCCACGACCTCCTGAAGGCCACCCACGTCCTCTACCAACTGCGTATTTGTTTGCCCCATCTTTTTTAGAACGTCTGACACCTGCACCGGAGGTAAAGCTGAACTTATTGCTATTCTGGAGATGATGGTGTCATTGCATTTGATTCCTGGGTTTCGTCTTCTCTTACTTCCCATCTGCCACTGCGGATGAGATCATCTCTTTCTGCGTCTTCCCTGAGAACTGGGTTTTGCGTACTTTGTCGTATGCTCAGAAGTGACATGAGTTTCTGCTCTCTGATTTCCTACTCTTCACTTCTAGCTTCATATCGTCATCTGCCTTGATGCTGATTTTGTGGACTGAGGGCTTTTTACGGTGATGTTTGTTGTTGATGTCCATTTGGAAACAGGGGGGGAGCATAGCCTCCGGCCGGAGGCTAGCACTGGGTGCATTGGCTTCTTGAGATCCGGATCGGGTGGAAGCAAGCTGCCAGGTTCACCGGGGCCAACTGCAAAACGTTCTGCAACATTTACAGCTTCAAATAGAACGCAGGCCATACCACCAGCTTTTGCTGCCCCTCTGAAAAGTGTGGGTCCCCCAAGAAGAGTGACTCTTAATGATCCGACGTGCAGGGCACCCAGGGTAAAGGGTGGCGAGGTTGGCGGTAATGCACCGCGCTTGGTCCAAGAGAGGTCAAGGACGAATCTTCAAGGCGTAAAGGTGCCGGGCAATATCACACCTGGGACCAGAACACCCGGGACCAGAACACCCGGGACCAGAACTCCCGGGAACAGGACTCCAGGGAACAGAACACCAGGAGGACCATCATCGCCCTCGTTGCGGTCAAGGAGCAGACCGGTGTCTCCCTCCGGAAACAGTGAGCTCGATGCAGCTGAGGTAGCACAGCGTCTGAGGCTTGCAAGGAGCAGGCCACAATCGCCCACAAGCAGTGGCACAGTGGATACTCGGTCAACGGACTCGGCGTGGACCAATCCGAATGGATGGAACTGCAGAAGCCGGCAGCAATCTCCCTCAACAAGTATGAGCTCTGCTCATGGTTCAGATGATGGCCATGCTACTTGTGCCTCGGATGGCTGGAATGACAGAGCATCCCTGCGATCGGAGTCGTCATCAGTTATCTCGTCACCGTCTCTGTCACGACTGCCTGATATTGGAAACTTCTCTTTAGGCACTGGAGATCCTTCTGGAGATGGGAGGATTTCAGGTCTCCGGAAACCGTCACCAAGACTGAGTTTCTTCGAATCGGTAAGCTCCAAACAATGATCGTTAAGAGTCAATTGGCTGTCGTAAGCTCCTAAAAACTATCTGTAAGAGCCAATTGGCTGTTTGCCCCCCCATCACGAGCCTGTGAATTATGCTAATCATACCCCACCCACTCACTGTATCTGGTCTTTGCATACTTATGAGTCATGATCAACAGGTGGCAGTACAAAGACCATGAAGAGAGAGATTTTGACGATTCAATGTCTGGTAAGTTTAAGTGACTAGCTGTCAGCGTTTTCCAGCGTGTATGAATGGAATTGAAGGTGGAACAAACACGGGTGTGAACCAAGCCGGACAAACATGTACCTGCAACTGTGCATGTTCTACGGCAGAGCACTACTTACCGAATGGAAATAGTGACACTGTTAGGCCCTGGAGAAAGATGAAAAGAGGATGGCGCCCGGAGTACAGTTCCTCGTTTCTGCATGCAACTATCAGACTTTTTCGAGTGCTTTTCTCCTTGACGAAAGGTACTGAAACTAAGCTTACATCGTCTTCGGTTTGCGTGCAGGGTAAAGGAAGACGAAGGAACAGCGGTAGTGGTGGAGTCTCCTCTGCTGGCGCCTCGCGACTGCCTTCTCGTCCTCAGCATGGAACGAGGAAACCATTACCTAGACCCCCTCCGTATGCAAAGAAAGCTGTTCCACCAGGCTCGGCAGGAATGAAGACAGTTCAAGATGGCATTCCTGGAAAGCAACCGAGTGATAGGTGGCCCCAGGGGAGCACTGCGTCACGAATTCCAACAATGGCAGTTGCGTCTCTATACGGGGCCAAGAGCGGTGGTGGTGTTGGTGGTGTTCAACAGAGCTCGTCGATCCGCCAGTCTGCCCATGGAAATAGTGCAATCCAGCATGACGATTGCAAAGGCTCTCTATTGCGAGGAGGGCAGGCGAATGGTGCAGCAGTGCCTCATGCCCTTTCAACACGGGTTAGTTGGGACGATGCAAAGAAGTTAGTGGATGCTTTCTTCGAAAGCCAAGGGGTAAAGGACTCTGCGGCAGAACATGGGAACCCCATCCCTAGGAAAGTGTTCAGAGGCTCCAAATGCAGAAGAATGAGCTACGAGGACGTGTTTGCCACCTCGTCAGTCGACAGTGGACAGCAGTCTTCTGTGGGGCTGCAGGAGAAGAACAGATCTTCAGTGGATGGGGAATTTGGGGACAGGACAGATGTTTCCTCCCGTGAAAACTCCCAAGTCGTATCTGAAAAGGCTAGCACTCAGAAGAGGCTTTCTGAAGGGGCTGATTCTCAGCAAAAGCAGTCCCAGCCAGCTGCTTGCCATGGAAAGCAATCTCTTGAGACTGCTACAATGGTTCGCTGTAACGCACTCGGGGCAGTCGCTTCGCAGACGCAGCCAGCAGCAATGGTCGGAAATCCTCAGGAGATCGCCCAGACTTGTTCGGGGATGGAGATATGTTGTTCTTCAGCGAGGGGTTCGCACCCTTTGGCTTCAAGCACGTTGTCTGATGCTGTGTACGCAAAGCAGTGTGAGCGAGGCAGTTCCCAACTGGTGCGTGCTAGCAGCCCTCAGGCCAGAACTCCAGGTAAGAATCAGTTGGATCTCAACTCACTGGGGAATCGTCGGGATGCGGGGTCTGAGTCTTGTTGCAGGGACGGACTGATTGCTAATGGGGAACAAAGTCCTGGGGGCTCTGGGCACAAAAGCATATCGAGGGAGCAGCCTAGCGCTGCGGACAATGGGGCAATTTCTTTTGCCGGGACCGCTGTTCAGCGAGTTGTGACCGGAATGGGAAACATAGTAGTCAGCGAAGCGCAAAACAGAGAAGGCAGGGCTTGCCACCTCAGCGCTTGTAGCGTGGCTGTTGGCGGTCCGCTTCCAAAAGCTAGAGACATGGGCTGCGCACATGAAGCTGGTGCGGTCGCCCCCCAGGCCAGTTTGGGCATACCTGGGCCTGAACAACCGGTTGGGACTAATGAAGGGGAGAGGGCAAGCACCGCAGAGACTCAGGGTGCTGGATCCAACAGTCAGTGTCATTTCCGGGTGGGTGATAAAAAAAAGAACGGCACCTCAAATGAGCAGATGTCAGTGGGGGAAACCGTGCAGTCGATAGGAACTTCGAGTGACCGTCAGGGTGATGTAGGTATTCCTGCTAGTAAACTAGAAAGCCGAGGGGTGGACGTAACGTTGAAATGGGAGGGGGAGGAGCAACCAGCGAAGACGAGAGGTGGAAACACGGTGTCCGAGGCCAGTTGCTTGCCTGCAACTAATGATGTTGGGGATGATACGAGTAACTCGGCGTTGGGCTGGAGCACGTATAGCCATCTCAGAGAATCACGAGTTGATTTGGTTCAGAGGTCCGAATTGCGTCAGAGTCATCACGAGGCATTCGAGGTAGATGTGTTGGCGAAAGTCAGGAATGTGCTGGCTGCCATAAGATTGGACAAGTCGACCGAAGCAAGGGTATTATCTGCAGCCAAGGATGCGGCAGAGCGGCAACCTCGTAGTAAAGCCTCTGTCCGCAAGACCAATGGGATGGTAGATGCCGATGTAGACACGTTTAGGACCAGGGAGCAGCCTGCTGGCCAGGATGTTGATGATTTGCGGACGGCTTGCGGGGAACTACACATAGTGGTGTCTCCGAAAAATGTTCGTGTAGGGGAACCGGTTGGTCGTCAGTCCTTCCCGAAAGCGCGACGAGATAGTGATTCTAAGCTAGGAGGTGAGAGATTGAACAGTTGTCTGGTTGATGAGAAAAGTGGAGTGGGCAGTATGATGGCAAGTCAGACTCCCACTGGGGATGTGAGAATCTCCGACATGTGTGCCAAGGTGCACGAAGCATCTGTGACACCCTGTCGTTCTCGATCCAGTGAGGGGCCAAGAGAGGGGTCTGTATCTTTTTCATCACCTAATTTGGGAGGTGGAACAACGGTTGGCTGGTCCGTCCAGAGTCCTGAACAATGCATATCACCTGAACTTACAAGTTGTCATGGTCCTGCTAGGATGCGTTTCAAAAACTCGGAGCTTGAAAATGGGAACCCATGCCAGATCTCCGAGCATGAATGCCCACGGGATTCCAGGTCGCTCTTTCCTTCGTCTATCATTATGGCTCCTTTGAATTGTAGCAAAGGGTCGAGTAGGGACTTCCGTCTTCATAGTGGAGTTTCATCAGCTGTTGATTCAAGAAATGTTCCTGGGTGTTCAGTCGAACATGGTAATGGGACAAGGACTCAACCTACTAATCCGGGTGAGGGGGTACTCTCACTTGGTGTCTCGGATCTTGATCTTGAAGTGCGTAGGTCGATGAAGAGACGGCAGCCGTATTCTGACAAGGAGATGCAGAGAGTGGGAGGAGAGAATGAACACGTCGTGGCTGAAGAGAGTGGATCTGGGGATCGAGAGGGAAGAAGTGGTTACGTTTCCAATCGGGCAGAAATTCTCTCTCATAGCTTTGACATGTCTGCTGGGCAGCCGCTAGAGGATAGGGCGGCTCGAGCAGGTGTAACATCTCAAAACCCACTTGGAAATTCCTTTGGAAACGACGGTGGGTTTGCACGAAGTTCCCAGGACAAGGGTTTACCCGTTGGGCTTTGCAGTGATGGCACGTCGTTATCTTCTGAGGGTGGTCCTACATCTCCCCGAGATCCTTTTAGTGAGGAGCGCATTCAAGCACTCATTGAAGCTGGGACGGTGAGTGGAGCTCATTCTATATTCCTTTTGTTTTTTCTTTTATGTTGTTGTTGTTGTTGTTGTTGTTATTGAAATAATCACATGTTGTTTGAAATTCTCATGGCTATCGTCTTTCCCAGAACATGATGCAAATGCGCTGCAAATGAGTACAACGCATGGGTTGCTTTCTATTCGAATACAAGGCACATGCGTTCTATTCGAACAGACCTTGTTTTCAAATACAACGCATACGCTTTCTACTCGGATTTTTGAATTTATCGAAAACTCGAATACAACGCTTATGAATCATGTTTGGGGAAAGAAGATAGGGAGGGGCACACCATCTTCACTTGAAGATGATGTGGATATTGGAGATAGCTATGAAGCACACAGAACAATCTTCAATAACTCAGCAATGGCAATTGGTGTTCCATGTCGTGGAGGTTGCTGGTGCTCAGCAGAGCAAACGCTAAGTGTGTGCACCACCCTTCAGGCACGTGGTGCACTCCCTATCACCTACCTACCGCTTAAACCCCCAGTGCTTGGCCCAGCTATAGGCCGTGGGAAAAAAAATAGACTAGAGACGTTTCTAGTCGGATGAATTTGGGCGCTCCTGTAGTGGCCTGTACATTTTCTAAAGTCGTGGCCTATAGTATGAATTTTTATTTTTATTTATTTATTTATTTATTTATTTATTTATTTTTTGCACTTCCTATCGCCTATGGCCACGTCGTCACCAATTTGTCCAGGAAATAGTTGAATACACCCTTAGCGCTGACCCAGAAATGTCCGTATTTTCCATGGCATCTGACAAATGCACCCCTGGATGTAGCCAGATTCTGAGTCCAAGTTCGGACTGTAGTCTGTGGCTGGTCTGTTGTAGGGTTGTTTATAGTACTGCAGATTATGTTTTGGCCAGATTTCGGTGAAGCACAGGAGGCTGCTTGCCTTAGGGGTATATGATGCTCATTCTGCTCGGAAACGTGTCTTGTCGGTAAATGTGCGGGAGGACCTGTGCGTCGCCGGACAGATTCTGAGAAAAATAACTGGATGCCTTGTTCTTCTTGCAAGCCGGTAAGAAGAAGAGATTGCGAGTGTGTAGGCAGTGGGAAAAGCGTGCGATAAAGGTTTTAAACCACCAGTACCTTTGCCGCTTGGGAAAATAGCGGGCCTCGGGTAGGCGTCCGACCTTTTCAGAGGCCGAAACGAAATGATGGCCGCCGATCAGATTTATCAATGGCAGTCGTCGTTGGGCCCGACCTCCGAATATTCAGGAGTTTGGCAAAACTGCCATTTTTCCCTATTTTCCCACGCGGGAAAGGTACTAGTTAACTCCAGCCGGTCATGCAGGGACAAAGCAGAACAAGGCATCCAGTTATTAACTCCAGTCGGAAATGTGAATCCTGAGGTGGATTGGGTCCAACCCATGGGGGTGAGATTTATGTTACTCTGGCTAGCCTTTCTCATCTGAAAGGTCTTTCCAGATCCTTCTTCAGCATCATGCATAAAAAAGAACGAGTCTCCGGTGGTGGTTTTGACCATTAAGGACATTGAAACAGATGGCGACGGCAGTCGATCTGGAAGTGTGCCGACTGGAGATGACAGTTGTAACGTCCAGTTAGCACGCCTCCAGATTCACTGCAGTCTCTGGATAGTTTCAGTTTCATTTGTGGCCAAAACTAGCACTGGGGACGTTTTTCTTTTTATGAACGCGAATGTAACATCACCAAGCCAAAAAAAAAACACCTGGGAATGGTGCACAGATGATGAATCATGATGCCTCCTCTCCCAACTCGGTTTTTTTCTTTGCGAGTTCTGCTGGGCCCACGCATCCCAACGGAAGTTGCTTGGTCGTCTAATAAATTCGTTTTTTTCTCAACATAGCAAGACTGTTTTTTTTTTTTTTTTGCCTTGGTGATGTAACTATCGTGTCCGTAAAAAGAAACACGTCCCCAGTGCTAGTTTTGGCCATAAATGAAACTGAAACATTCCACAGAGACTGCAGTGAATCCGAAGTTGCTTGGTTTGTCTAATAAATTCCTTTTTCTCAACATAGCAAGACTAGCATGGCCCCTGCACTTTCAAGGATGACACGCATAAATCGAGAAATGGTCCATAAAAAATAAAAATAAAAATTCCTTTTTCTCAACATAGCAAGACCGTGTGTGGCCAGTTCACACTACTTTGTGCCAAATGTGGGAAAACGACTGGCTTCCTGATTTGCTTCTCTAACGTCCACCATAGGTGTACTAGCAGTAAAAGAAAAAATAATGAATGAAAAGAAAGGTGTAGTGGCAGTTACGGGGGAGTTCGGGAGGGGGGGAAGGGGGGGAAGGGGGGGAAGAAAAGCAGTCAGAGTGGGGGAAGAAACGTGAAGAACGGGAAACTGAAATGAGACAACCAGACGAGGGCAGGATAAAACTCTTGGCTGTACCTGCCTTGCAGCTGAATCGAGAGATCATGAGCTCAAATACTGATGTGTACAATACCGTTAGGGGATAAGCTGAGATGACCCCTTAAGGAAAAAGAAGAAAGGCTCTTGGCTTTGGAGAGAGACGAGACCTCCACAGTTGATGTCCAGACATAGGTCATGAAAGAATTTGGCTGTTATGACATCCATTTCCCTATTTGATATGATGTCGTGTTATAGCAACAGCCAGCTCCAGTTCGTGAACTGGACGCACAAATGGCCCAACATAGTGGGCTGAGAGGCGAGTGCTCCCTGTCCTGTGCATGTCTTGCCACAGGGAATGACATGGTTGGCATAGGCTCTTCCTTTCTTCGGATGGCTAAGCCACACATTCCATCGGCAGCATTCGCATCCAGTAGTATAAGTAGGTGGTCGTAAAAGCACCAGTACAGCCAGCTCCAGTTCGTGAATTGGACGCACGTAAAAGCACCAGTACACTCCGCATCGGCCTGCGGGTGTCCGCATGAAAACCGCACCACTTCGGAGGTGGCCGGTTTTTTTTTTCAACGGCGCCACAGGACGTGCTGACCCCTCCGAGTTTTGGTTGTGGTGACAAAACCTTTCTGCAAGGGTGGGGCCGTGTACTAGCGGCTTAAACCCGTAACCTTTCCTCCCAGGGTGGGTGTTGCATGCTTTGCCTGAATTGGATACTGTCTGCAATTGAACAGTGAGTGCCGTTGTAGGGATCTTTTCTCCGCTTTCCAGTCTGTCAGCAGATCTTGTTCTTTTGACATGTAGCTCACCTTGCTATTGTAGGAAAGCTGTGCGCCATTTGCCTCTGTCAGCAGATCTGCGAAAGGATGCCTCCTTCCCAAGGAAACAAATAGGTTGCCCTCTTACGTGAGGAAAGAAATGGATTCTCATCTTGCATCCATTTGAAATGGCAAGCTTGCATTGTGGCGTGATTCATGTCCTCAGCCTTTCCTTGTGTTTTTTTTTTTTTTTTTGGCACTTCGGCCCCACTGGAATAGCCTATAAGCACAGCAAAGTTTTTTTGAGACGATGACCTCTGCATTATTTTGTCTTGGTCTGCTTTTTTTTTTTTCACCCACGCGCTCACCTGCTTTACTCTCTTCGTTTGACTGCGGCTTGTGTCTCCATATGCTTTAGTAACAACAAGTTCTAACAACGTTGTGCTGAGTTTGTTTTACCTTTTTTTTTTTTTCGAGGGACGATGGCCGCGAGATTTCATCATTGAATTGACCGGTACAGCTAATTCAGAATGATCTTTTTTTTTTTCTTTTTTTTTCTTTTTAAGAAATGATCTTATTCTGTTGCATCTGGATTCGTGCTCCGGTCTGTATATTTCAGCACTTCCTGGGTGTACCAACTGAACTACTCGTGTTGGCAGACGTTCAGTGGAGTTTCGTTTCTGAATTGGGAGTTTTTTTTTTGAAACCCATGTTCTTGTTGCCAGCGTGTCTGTGAGTGGACAGGCTACCGTCTTCACCCGAATAGAACGCACAGTCATTATAGCTGTATTTGGGGCGATTTTCAGTCCAGATGCAGTCATAATGACTGGAAGTTCTAGTGGGGCGAAGACGGTAGGGCTTCCTGGAAAACAAAAACTGGGCACAGAAAAGGATTTGTTTTGTTTGATTTCAGTTTTTATGTCGTGAGACACAGTGGATGACTTTTGGGTGCTGTCTCTTAAGTTTTTCTTTCCTTCTCCTCTTTATGAGGGCATGGGCCTCGCTTCAGGACTCGCAGAATGTGCGAAATGGGAATGAATCTTTTGCTAGTACGTGGGAAGATACACCGTGATATTTTTTGTCTTTTGTGCATGTGAAGGGTAGTGGCACGAGGCCCCATGAGTGAAAAAGCTTGTATTGTGTGAAAAATATGGTTGGCTTTGAGAAAAATGAAAAGCGATACCAAAAGCTCTTTACTACCTTCTCAAAACTTGGAGTAGTAGTTACTGCGGGTGTAACCATTACGTAAAGCCATGTAGAGTGTTGTTGTCTACTGGAGCGAGGCGGCGAGGCCCCACGTATTGCAGAGTGATCTATGCGCAACTGGCCTGACACATTGTCAGTGCTCATATCGGTGAGTGAGATAGATGTCTTTTTTTTTTCCTGTGTGGGTGTGTGCATGTGTGCGTGTGTGCGTGTGTGTGTGCGTGTGTGCGTGTGGTAGCTTGAATATTTTACCTGACATTGGTCCTGTTGGCAGGATGTTCTGGCAGCCAAGAGTGGAAACGTAAGGCACTCGCCAACAGAGAAACCTCAGGAGGAGAAAGAACGGAACCCATGGTCGCCGGTAGGTTTTCTCTCACATTAAGTTGTCTAATGCCTATGCATGGCACTTATATAGGTATATATATATTGATGTCGTCTCGTTCATTGGCTGCTTCCTGAAGATCCGAGCTTGTTCGTGTCTGGTCGTCTTCTTCTTTTTTAATATGGACCATTTCTCGATTTGTGTGTCATCCTTGCCCAGTGGCCATTTCTAATCTTCTGTGTATCATTTCAATTTTAACGGATACCCCGAAGGACATCGTGTCTGGTCTTCTAGAGCCTCTCCTAACTCAATCAAGCTGATCGAGTAGCGCTGTGCATGGCACTTCGCATCAACTGACTTACATACGTTCTCTCTTGAGTGTTTGTTTCTACATTCTCTCTCGAGTGTTTGTTTCTATTTGTCTGTCGACGGCTTGATGCTAGCTTGCAAGCAACCACAAGAAGGAAGGGTTCGACCTCGCAAGCCAGGCTGCATTGTCATACTCATTGCTTCTCTCCTTTGTTTTTTAGTCTAATTTATTAGACACCCAAGTAACATAATCATTGAAAGAGACAGCTTCCACTACAATAGGCATAAAGGCATAATTGGTACCACAAAGTTCTCTACATTGACCATAGTAAACTCCTCGTGTGATAAAGACGGAAGTCTGATTTAAACGACCAGGTAGGGCATCACATTTGACCCCTAAGGAAGGTACTGCCCAACTGTGAAGTACATCAGCAGATGAGTTTTGTTGCCTTAGAAATATGCTCTTGGCCCCTCCTGTCGGTTAGACTGTCATTTTGCAAACTCTAGGCTGGGTAGTGCACACTCCACTCCCCCTTATCATCTTCAGTTTTCCAATCGGTTGACTGAACTGTATGATACATACACACACACACACAGACACGCACGCACGCACACACACACAGAGAGAGAGAGAGAGAGAGAGAGAGAGAGAGAGAGAGAGAGAGAGAGAGAGAGAGAGAGAGAGAGAGAGAGAGAGGTATACTTTTTGTGTGTGTTTGGGCTTGGTTTCCGTTACGTTTTGGGCGTGATCCGTTTCGGCTCTTGCGTCACTCCAGGGTCGATCTGAAAACTTATATGACATCTAATAATATGTTTCTTTTTTGTTTTTCCATTTTTAAGAGGCCGGTTTTATTTAGGTTGCTGGAAACTGGGTACAGCCTCCCTTACGTGGTGTGACCTGCTCTGCGCTTCCCTTTGTTATGTTTGAGAGAATGTGAGACAGCCAACAAGCAAGGATTTACCCCTAATCCACCCCTGTTCTTCCTGCAGTGCCCCTCTTTTCAGTGATTCGTATCCATTGTGCCTCTACTGACCCTCTCAGCACTCTCGGGCTTTCAGATATCGTTTTTTGGCTCCTGCAGTTGAGGTTATTGGTCATTGAACGGAGTGGCGCTCACTCGAACCACTCCTCCTTTTCCTCCCTCTAGTTGTCCCTGCTTGGGTCCTCGTTCCCCCGTTTCGGGATTGGATGATGGCTTGTAATAACAGCAGGTTCAAGCTCTTCTTCTCACAAAGCTGCACCGGTCAGGAGAGGGGGATTCTCTACTCACTGAAAAAGTCGGTAACTTGGCCTGATGTCCCATGCTGTTTCCGTCTGTTGTTGTTGTTTTTGTTTTTGTTTTACTTTTTTTTTTCTTTTCTTCTTTTTTTTGCAGGTGAAGAAGTACCATTTCGGCCCATTTGACTGCACGAAGCTGCACCGGTCAGGAGAGGGGGATTCTCTACTCACTGAATGAAAGTTCATTTTGTGCTCTCATCGGTCAACATCACATCGTCTCCTTGTGGTCCTTTTTTTCAAGGTATCTACCTACCGGGTGGGCCATTGAATTTTGCAACCACTACACGACAACTGCACTGCACCAGGCGTACTGTGTACATACATCAGTGTTGTCCGATCACTTGTGATGAAACAGGAACCACAGGACTCTGATCCAAGAGGCGAAAAGAGCACATTGGTGGGCTTCCCTCAATGAATACTGATTGGACTACGGAGATGTTGTGGTGCAGCGCGAACTGGCTAGAGTTGGTTGTAGAGGAGCGACAACTGGAATATGCAAATCTCAGAGTGAAGAATGGGCTGATTGTTGCGAGGTCATGTGTTCGAATCTCTTCTAGTCTCAGCATGGCCCAAACGGTGTCAGCGTTTCTTATGGGAGATGTCAGTGGGCTTAGTCCTACTCGAGAAGAGAAACACATGCACTGGTCGCGTGTTGTTCGCAGCCAGCCCGTCAAGGAGAGAGAGCATCCAGCATTAGGTAGGTAGGTATTCGCGGACCAGCTGTGTCTGTCCCAGGTTCTCCCGGCCCCGGCGAGGACTTCCACATAGGTATGTGCCTGTATGTATCCCGACCCTACACTTGTGTATGATCCGAACTAAAATTTGAAGATAGAGCATAGAAAAGAGAGAGGTGTTCATGGTAGGCAGTGGGGTCTTCTCTTCCCTGGGACACACATCAACAACAGGGTGTCAGGATCAAAATTTAATGTTACAGAAGAAGATGAGATATTGAATAGAGCGACAGGAAGCGTTCGGAGATACCGAAGAAAGAAACTGCTCAATCAATTGATGAACATCTGCTCTGACAAGATCCACAAGAACGGCGATTAGATGCCTGAGGAAGAACGCTGCATGTCAGGAATGCGAGCATACTAGATTAGGAGTGTTCAATGTATCGCTACTGTGATTATTGAAAAGGGCCAATTGTGACTTGATGCAGTTGTTACGCACAACGTCCTGGCAACGTGTGACCGGCGCTATGGGCTTCCCTTCCTTGTATAAGGGCCAGTTGTGACTCGATGAAGCTGGGATGTTCTCGGCGATGCCTAAGGCATGTGATGAAGTTTGGGTGTTATCAGCGATGCCGAAGGCATGTGATCAAGTTTGGACGTTCTCGGCGATGTCGAAGGGATCGGATATAGCTCGATCGTAGTTCAACTTGGAGCATCGGCAGTTAGTGGACAAGTCAAAACATTGAAGATAAGTTGACTAGGACCTGCACCAGAGAGATCAAGAGAGCTGCAATTGGATGCCAGTGAGAGGAGAACGCATGCAGGGCATGCAGACATGCTCGAGTGAGTATTATCACTAGACATGCAGACGTGCTCGAGTGAGTATTATCACTAGACATGCAGACATGCTCGAGTGAGTATTATCACTAGATTGGCAGAGCTTTCACCCCATCAGCGCTGTGATTATTAAACAGAGGCAGTTCTGATGCAACAACACGACGTGGAAGCAATGGGTCGGGTCTGGGGATGGATAAAGAATGCGGCCAAGCTATGGGATTGCAGCGAGCGAGAGAAGAACGCATGCAGGGTATGCAGACATGCTCGAGTGAGTATTATCACTAGATTGGCAGAACTGTCACCCCATCAGCGCTGTGATTATTGAACATAGGCAGTTCTGATGCAACAACACAATGTGCAAGCAATGGCTCAGGTCTGGGGATGGATAAAGAATGCGCCCAAGCTATGGGATTGCAGCGAGCGAGAGAAGAACGCATGCAGACATGCTCGAGTGGAAGTGTTATCACTCGATTGGCAGAGCTTTCAACCCATCAGCGCTGTAGTTCTGATGCAACAACACAATGTGCAAGCAATTGCTCAGGTCTGGGGATGGATAAAGAATGCGCCCAAGCTATGGGATTGCAGATGGAGGTGGAGCGTCTGCAGTCTGTGAAGAAGTTAAAACACAGAGAATCAATTGTGCAGGGATCTGCTCTGAGGAATTGCAAGGACGTCGATGGACAGCCAGGGAGAGGATGCTGGATGCTGGACATGCAGCGTCCTCGTTAGATTAGCAGAGAGTTTACTGCATCGGCACTGTGACGACTGAACAGAGGCAATCCTGATGCGACAACACAAACAATGAGAAGTGCATGAGGTGAGGGGGCGAAGGGGGGCGGTGGATGATGATTGCACCCCGCTATGGGATGGCAGAGTGCCAATCGAGGTCGATGCTTCGTCGACAAGACTTTATGGCCAGAGTTATATGGTGTAATATCGAGTTGGTTCTTTAAATCCAAATGCCTTGATGACCACTGTAATATTCCTTTAGTTCTGTCGTTTTGCACAATCTTGCATATGAAGGAGGCTTATTATGTCAATTCACTGCAGCGTCTCTCTCTCTCTCTCTCTCTCTCTCTCTCTCTCTCTCTCTCTCTCTCTCTCTCTCTCTCTCTCTCTCTCTCTCTCTCTCTCATCATCTGTCTCTTATCCCTCAATTCCATCAGTCAGTGCAATCATCACGTGCCAGGTATGTTCGGTGGCCGTTTCCATGTGTCTAGGTCGTGGCAACAGGAGCACGAAGCGCGAAAATATATA